GGAGGGGGGATAAAGGAGAGAAAAAAACTGGAACTGTAATAGCATAATCAATAACATATACTTAAAAAGAGGTAACATTTAAACAAAGACTGGATGTTAGAAAAGTATTCGTTTGTATTATCTCTGTGGGGAAAAAAATCACTATTTCTCACTTTTTCACTGGAGGGAATAGCTAGTGTAAAGGTCCTAAAATGAAGAATGTGGCTGATATACAGGGATGGGCAAAAGTAGGTTTATAGATGTAATACAAATAATACATTAATAACTAATACAAAAATAAACAGTTTCACATACTCCAAGTGTAAACCTACTTTTGCCAATCCCTATGTTTAAGGAACGGAATGAGCAAAGAAGATAATAGGTGATCAAAAAGAGGAGAGGAGAGAGCAGGCAGATTACGTAAAACCTTATATGTTACTGTAAGGACTGGTTTTTATTCTGAGGGAAACGAGAATTCAAAAATTATGAACCTTTCCCAAAGTCATATAGCTGATAAGTGGCAAAACAGCTAGGATTTAAACCATGATTTCTAGACTCTACACCTGTGTTCTACTATTCCTATTTGCCACTTACTAGCTTACAACCTTCCTCCCAGAAAAGTCTAAATTAAAATACTCTCAAAAAGTTAAATTTATAAATACCTTTTAGGTAAGAGATATACAAGCTCTCCAATTAACATTCCTAATCCCTCACAACCATAATAGGAATTTATTAATACTAATGCCCAATCTAAAATCCTACTAACATTGAAACCTATATTTAGGAGATTACAAATCCCACCTTCCTCCCAAATGAAACAAGATCAAGAAAGCTTTGTTCAGAAGGCTTAAAGTGTGAATTTCAGGTTCAAGTAACAGTAACCTTAATTATTTTTAAAATGTATACTAGCCAGATATGAAAAGCAACAAGAGAATGGCTAAGGCAGTATTATCCTTTCTCTTAATAGTTCACTGGTTAGTATTAATAACAATTATGTTGTCAAAGAAGTTTCTGCAACTACTAATGACTATTTCAAGTCTGGGATTTGACCACTTCATACCTCAAAAGTAACAAAATAACCCTGACCAGTGTGACTCAAGTTGGTAGGGCATCAAAAGTGAAAGGTTGCCAGTTCAATTCCTGGTTAGGGCTCATCCTTGGTTGAGGTTTCAGTCCATGGTTGGGGCATGTATGAGAAGCAACTGATCAATGTTTCTCTCACATCAAAGGTTCTTTCCCTCCCTTCCCCTCTTTCTATAAAAATTTTTTTTATTTTTAAAAAGATTTTATTTATTTATTTTCAGAGAGAGGGGAAGGGAGGGAGAGAGGGAGAGAAACACTGATGTGTGAGAGATACATCAATAGGTTGCCTCTCATACACACGCAAATGGGGACCTGGCCTGCAAACACAGTCCTGTGCCCTGACTTGGAATCAAACCAGTGACCTTTCGGTGCACAGGCCAGTACTCAATCCACTGAGCCACACCAGCCAGGGCAAAAAAAAATTTTTTTTAAGTAACAAAATAGATATTCTTATTCATCTGTTGTTTTTGGAACTACAACCCAAAACTCTTGATAGTTCTTGCCAGTTGATGGCAACTTAAGACAAGGGAAAAGATTAGAGGATTTTGAGAGAAAGACCATCTATGAAGTATATATATGAAACAGGGTAAGCCCTTAATGGCCCTGGGTCAGTCCTTTCCAGTTGGACGAGGAATATTTCACTTATCCATAAGGGAGAAGGTAAAAGATGGAACATGAAGAGGGAGTGTTCCACATCAGGTCTATGCTTCAGAGGCTTTCAGCATTACTACACAAATACAGGAGGTTTTCAGCTTCATGGACCCTGGAACCACCAAAATCCCCAACCAGTAACTTATAGAAAAAGCATCACAGGGATTACTAAGGATAAATCAAATAATATGGATAACAGAAGCTTTCCTCCCCAAAAGCCAGTGCTTTTCAACAGAAATTGAACTTCCTTGTGTTATCTTTTCCTAGGCTTAGCCAATGCAGGGGAACTGCAACTTTGTGTGGCAGTGTCTGATAGGTTGCATTTATGCCAGAACTAGATTTACAGTCAATCTGGGTGCGTGTCTTTTTTTTTTTTTTTCCTTCTCCTTGAAACTGCCTCAGAAAATGCCCAGCTATTGTGCCCTGATAAGTAATCAAGGCTTTAAGTACTGCAAAAGGATCTGGAAAAGAAAGTCCCTCAGTCCAAGTTATGGTTCAAATCTTATGATTTCTATAGCATGTTTTAACCAAAGCTGGTTTGGCTTTTCTTAATAAGCCAAACAACATGAGCACTTTGAGCTGAGTGCAGAGGGGCTGCGTGTCAGCGTGACTCCCAATGGGAGGGCTAAAGTGCAATATGGTCCAGAGTATAGAAACCAGGACAGCACAGATGCTGTTCCCCTACATATGAACCTCCAGTTTGGTGGGTGTGAGATTCAAGGAAGGAAAAAAAATCAGTAAACTGAAACGAGAGACTGGTTTACACACAAGACACTGCTTACAACTAGTATGAATCTGGAGGTCCCAGTAAATAATTAGGATACTATTACTGACACAGTGACCCTTCATCCACATTGCTGTTCTCTAACCAAATCTTGGAGCCATGTCCAGGCATAAAAAGGTGTGGATGAAGACATTTGTCCCCCCAAAGAAGGGGACAACACACAGGCTTTTGAATATACTTTAAAACTATGAGGTTCAGAACAAATTTCTCACCACTCCCTCCCTGTGGCCTTATGCTAAACACAGCAATGAAAGTTACTTCCAGAACTTAGATCTGAAGGGCTGATCAGGGAACCTGGTTTAACATTGTTCCCAGACAAGTATTCGAATACAGCCTCTATTCAGACCCTATTTGGACTGCCTCTAAACAGGAAGTTAACAGACATCACACACAGTCAGGGAAAGCAAACCACAGTGTCATAAAATAAAGATGGATGCTGCTGTCAGCTACAAATCACTCCCACCTCACGGAAAATGTTTTCAAGTAAGAAATAGGCAGGAAAAATGTCCATAAGCTTCACTTCTTCTCAAATTGGGTCACTCACCACACAGGCCCAGCCTTCTGATTTCTGCTGATTAGTAACTTATCTTCATTCTTTACCGTGATAACTATCACTGCCACTAGACTAAAAAACTCCATTCCTCTAAAAACGGAAGACAGCACCACCAGATCAGTACTCTCATTAACACATTATTCATTCAACCTACTTGCTCAAGAAACCCAAGGAAAGACTATCCTTGACCCAGCCCATCCCAAGACAGAGACTGGATATCAGTCACAAAAAAAAAGCAGCACCATTTCCAACAGGTGTGAGCTTCCCCTCAATATATACTGAGCCCCTCCTTATACTACCTTTAGCAGCTGCAGAAGTAGCCTCCTTCCCAATCAATTACCAACAGAAATGCTACTGTAGAACAATACTCTTATCAAGACTGCTCCAGCACCAAAAATATGAATCCAAGTGGTTATAAGGTTTCCAGGAAGAGTGAGTCAGTGTATCAAAGAAAAGGCAATGAAGTTACCACTAAATTCTCAAATGTGTGAATCGACAACATACAGACACCATGTTACTGCCAGAAAACCATCAGAAGTCATCTACACTTAAAATGGGACTAGCCAGCTGAAGGATAGTCCCACTGTCCTTCGGAGGTGAGAGGCAACATTTCTTTTCATTTTGCATCATATGTATACACAGTCTATTCAAACAATAAATTTTTAGAAAGAAAAATGTTTCAAAAACTTAAAAGCATCAGCTCTTCTCCAAGATGTATCTTTTAGATCTGCTTTTACTCTAGCTGCTGGCAAGTCCAAATCTCTGTTGCAGTCTGCTCTTTTGCTTTGCTGAAATTTATTAAGTACCTCCTAGCTCTCTCAGGCACAAAAGATCTTCAAATACTCATTGATCAGAAATGAGAAAAGTGTTTGGGAGGCTACCTGATTTTCCAGATGACGGCAGAAGAAAAGGTTGAGAGTAGCCACCCACCCACCACAATGCTTCCATCTCCAGCTCAGTACTAGCCTTATGAACTAACATCTCGTGTATGGGGAGGCGAGTTGATGCTCTGAAAGAGTCCAAAGAGGCTACCATACCTTCATAAGAGGGGAAAGGTCCCGGTCCAGCGAGTGGCACCCAAACCTCTGAACTCAAAGTAGTAGTTAGCTTGATGTGTAAGAGCAGGGAAGCAAAAAGTACTCTAAGTACCGAGTGGTTAGGGAAAGGTAAGTTCTAGTTCCACAAACCCTCTGGCACTGAACTGGGATACAGATCCGGTGTGTCCCCGAAGCTCAGCGGAGGAAAGGAGTGGTTTAATTGCTACAGAAGGTAAGTATCCACACAAACTAAGACAATTCCCTTCTCCTGAGGGAGGGCAAAGGAACCGTGGACGACGAAATAAAGGGGTCGGGCTCTGTGTTCCTGATCTTACCTAAATAAAGATAATTATCTCGTGCTTCCTTTACCCTTTAGGGTACCCCATTTGTCCCAACCGACGCCAAACACAAGACTGAAAGCAGGGAGCGGCCCCCGCACCCTGAGGGCACCACTGGGGGTGGAGAGTTAACAGGGGGGGCGCGTAGAGAGGAAAGAAGGGGAGCATGGCGGGCATGAGGCAGTGAGTGAAAGCGGGGATGGCGGGGGAAACGGGACGCGAGGGAGGGGAGAAAGAGTAAAAGGAGAAGGAATGAAGGGACACGAGCTGGGGGCGCGCCAGGCCGAAGTGAAAGACCGGGGCGCGCGCACGGAGCGGGGGGGGGAGGGGATGAGGTGAAGTGGGAGCGCGAGGCGGGGGCGCGCGGTGCCGGGTGGGGGGAGGGGGACGCAAGGCGGGGGCGCGCGGGCGGGCGTCGGCTCGCGGGCGCTTCCCCTCCCCCGCCCCTCCACCTTTCCCTTCCCCCACCTCCGCCACCACCGCCTCCTCTAAGCCTCCCTCCCTTTCTCGCTTCTCACCGCCCCCGGGCGGTCGGCGGGCGGGCGGCCAGGCCGGCCTAGGCCAGAGCTCCTCACCTGGCGGTGGCGATGTAACTCCCGGCTAGCTCGCCTCCTCAGGCGGCGGAGGCGTCGAAAAAGGAAGAGGCGATGGCACAGTGGGTTCCGGACCCCGATGACGGGACCAGGGGTGGGGGTGAGAGATGGGGGCGGGCCGGACCAGGCGGGCGGGCGGAGCAGACACTGCGGTACAGACGGGGGCAGCGGCGGCGGCGGCGGCGGCTGCACCGGCGGCGGCACCACACAAACAAGGACGCTGATTGGGCAGCTGCCAAGCGCTTCGGCTCCGCCTTCTCCACACGCCACGACGCCCATTGGGGGACCTAAGCCGGCCTCCCCGCCTTATTCTTTTATTGTATACCAATAGGAGAGGTGATGCCGGGACTACACCCCACCTTTGAAGAGTGAGTGGCTGTCGAAGTGATGATTGGCGTACTTGAGACCCAATCCTAAACGGAGGAGGGGGATGGTCTAGCGGGGGCGCGTTAATGGGTACCTCGGCCAGTCCCAGACACATCCGGGTCTTCAACAGCCCATTAAGTGTCGGGGGTCAAAAAATCGCTTCAGGCTGCAACTTTACCTTGGAGACGTTTTGGTCCCCAGGCAGCCGCCGTACCCCAGTATCCCAAAACCGGGTTTCCCGTTTGGCCAGTTCTCATTCTTCCAATTCTAAAGATGGAAACTGGAGAAGAGTACTGGGTTCTGAGTTAGGTGGTGTTTCTTCTCGATAAAATCCAGGAATTTCACGATAGTAGTAGCTTTAGGCGCTTGGGCCTTGCTGTCTGGGCGTGGCTTGTCTCCGTTTACCAAAGGCCTTGAGCTTCCAGGTCTTCATCGTACCCCAGCACGTTCCTGTCGTGACTAAACCACGACAACAGAAGAAAAAAGGCAGCTAGCCAGATTGCTGAGAAATTACGGTGTGCTCCTCCTCCCGGAGGAGCCCTCCTACCTCCTCCCGGGATCTGGTCTGGTTAGGTTCACAATGAAAGAAACACCCTTCCACCCTACTCCACCTAATCAACTCAAGGCTAAATTCCTCTTGCTAGCCTACTTCCCGGAAGCTATTAGGCCCACCTAAACTTTCTTAGCATGTCTTGAGCACCTTGCGGATAGAGAACACGTATTAGAGTGTATTAAGAGAATTAAAATAGCTAATGTTATACATTATGTGTATAACATATACACATTATACATTAGTGTATAATGTTATACACTGTGCTATACATAATTTATTATTTCAATAGTTTTATATGGATTATCTTATTTGTCATAACTGTGGAGTAGTTATTGTTATTCTCATTTTACAGATGAAGAAGAGGTACAGATGTAATAACTTGCCCAAAGTTACAAACGCTAAGGGACACAGCTGAAGTTTGAATTCAAGTAGATCAAGAAACAGGCTCAGAGAGGTTAAGTAACTTCCAAAGGTCAGACAGCTAATTAGTAGCTAAGCAGTGGTTTGAACCCCAAAACAACTGGTTCCAGAAGCGCTACATGTTTTTCAAATCCTTTAGATGTCATGCTCTGAAGTGGAAATTAAACCAATGAAGGACCCTGAAGACACACACAAAGGCATGCCCCAGTTCTTACTTTAAGTGTGCAAAAAATCTGTTTCATTCTAGTATAGTGTCCAGGTAAAGAACAGTCTCTGAAGTACCTGGATTTGGATCTTTGCTCTACCTCTTACCAGTTGTGTGATTTAGGTGCAGGTTATTTAATCTCTACTCTCTGTGTTTTAGTTTCATTGTCTGTAAAATGGGAATGACTGATAAGAATACCTAGCTCATAGGGTAATTGTGAGGATTATAAAACAGTTCATTTAAAATGCCCAGGACAATGCCAAGGATATAGTAAGTACTTGATAAACATAGTAAGTACATAGTAAGTACTTGTTAAGGGTTTTTTTTCACTTCTCCAACAATTTTACCCTCTTAGTTCAAAATGTAGCATCTGTTCATATTCTACTGCTAGTGGTTGTCTTATACTGAACTGAAAATTATTTCTCTACCAACTCCCTGATGCTTTCATTGACTGTTACTTAATACATGACTGAGGACCTACTGTGTCATCAGGCACTCTTCTATGTACCAGGGCTATAGCAGTAGATGAAGTAATCATTGCCCTCATGCAAGGTACAGTCCTCTTTTGCTAATCTGCTGCTTTACCCATGATCAGTCCAGTGCATTCTCTGCTGTCTGAAGGGCCATTTTTAAAGAGCTGTAAGGAGACATAAGAAATATGTTGGTAAAAAATACCAGCCCAAAGAAGATGCCAATGAGGCCTTAGGAATGCCTTCTAACAAAATTTAAATGAGGCCATGGATGGGGGTTTCAATATAGAGTGATCAAGTGCCAAGGAACACAAGTGACACCACTATTGTGGTGGATATGCAGTCTGTTTGGTTTTATTAAGTGTGCTTAGCATTTTATATGGATTACAAGGGGGATCCAAAAAACCCAAAATTTATTTATAAAAAGTTGTGCATTTATTCTTACATATTTAAACTTTAGTCACCTTCAAAGCACTCCCCATTTGATGCAATACACCTATCTCGATGTTTTTTCCACTGCTCAAAACGGTTTTTCAACTCGTCAATTTTGATGCCTTTTAGAGCTTCTGCCAGTTTTTTGTTTCACCTCTTCCACATCCACAAAGCATTTCCCTTCGAGGACTTTTTTCATCCAGGGAAACAAGAAAAATGTCACTCGGCAAGATCTAATGAATAGGGAGTCATTCTGTTTTTTTGGTTAAAAACTGCGAAACACTCGGCACTGTATGGACAGGTGCGCTCATAAATCACACATCATGAAATGGGCAAACAAGTTGAGTCTTCAAAAAAATTCATTGAAACCAAACGCAGTCTCTCACAACATCACCACTGATACAGATTGGTTCCTAGAACACTCCCACCTAGCAGAAGAAGCCTGTACTATAAGCGGCCTGGCCTCCAGGAGATAACTGTTTTGTTTGGGGGGGGGGGGTTGTGCCCCCCCCGTATATAATTAATCTTTAAACAACCTCCCCAATTTGCAGATGAGGAAAAACTGAGGCATAACAGTCAACTACCATATTTTTCAGACTATAAGATGCACCCCCACCCCCAACCCAAATTTGGAAGGAATAATGGTCGTTAATGCTGCTGTCGAGTTCTGTTTACATTTACATTGGTGAAATATTATGTTACTTATGTTATTAAATATTTTACCACATTTTTTGCTTCAAAAATTTTTTTCCTATTTTCCTCCTCTAAAACCTAGGTGCATCTTATGGTCCAAAAATATGGTGACTTGTCAGATATAAAAAATTTAGTCAGTGGCAGAGACAAGATTTAACTAAAAGTTTTTATACTCAAGCCTATGAAGTCTGGGAAGAGAAATTGGGCTAGGTAGTATGTGCATATCCTTCCCTTTATACAGCTCCCTAAGCTACGAAACAGAGGGATAACATGCTATGGTAAGTACTTTATTACTGGAATTCTCAAATACTCATATCTTGCAGTTAAAGAATTCTACAGTTCTGCACATTTGACTGTAGACCTCTAGAAGGAAGCCCCCAAAATGAGAAACATAAGCTAGAAGCAGGGTTGATTTTCATTAATGTTTGTGAACCAAGAAGCACTCTATACCACTAAGATTGTATGGTCTATTAAGGTAGGAAATGACCCTAATATTCTCTCCAATGACAAATGGTTTAGCATGTTGCTGGGTACATTACACTCAACAGAAACTTACGATTTTACCTTGTAGAAGGTCCTTGAGAATGATAGAGGGAGAGGTTGATTCTGGGGAATGAGGTCTGATTAGAACCTGGGGTGACATGTGGGTTCTCTCTGAAGAAGGCATTTCCTAGTCCCTGGCAAAATAGGTGGCATTTCCTAAGCCCCCACTTCCCTCCTGCACAGCTTCTTTAGGACCCCGGAAAAGTGTCCTACCATGCTCAAGACAGTGTGCTGAAGGGTCCTCTGGCTTGAAGGTCCCAGAATTCAGAAGTAGTACCTTCCTCTTCATCCACTGATCTCACCCCCAGGAATGTGCACCAAAGGCTCCTGTAAGTTATTTCCTCCATTGACACCCCCACCCTCCTTCCCCACAGCATTTCGGTTTCGCTGGTTTATTCCCTGCTGGTAATTGGTTTTGCAGCTCTGTTAGGAGTTGTTTCTGTGTCTATTTTATTATACAGGAAAGAAAAAGAGGATTAGGATTAGAATCCTCTTGGATTTTCTAATCCTGACCAGGATTAGGAAAAGGATGCCCATCTCCCTGATGCCCACGTGTAGTGGGCCCCTTAATCCTTGTCTCTATCTTCCCGACACTGTCCCCGGGCTGAGGCCCTGGTTGGAAAAGTACTTTCCCAGCTGGAACAACCAAGGAGAACAACCTCATGCATCCTGGGAGCCTGCCTGTTGTCATCCCTGTGGAGGTGCGGAGAAGTTGGGAGGGAGAAGCTGGGGGAGAGGAAAGAAGGCAGGGATGAGCTCAGGGCCCCCAGAGAATGAAGCCTTTGTGTGGGGTACAGATGAGGGACAAGGGGGTGATTGTATGGGAGGGCCGGAAGTGCCACGCAGACTGGCACCACCATAGCCAGCACCAGATTCACCCCTCTCCTGCTCTGAGAACTCCTTGTGCCTCAAGGGACCGGTAGCAGACCTGGTCAGGGAAAGCAAGGTGTGCCACAAGGAGTGGAAACGTGGAAAGGGGGATGCACAGCCAGGGTAAAAAAAAAAAAGAGGTATCCCCTTCATGATCCCAGACTCAGGAAACAGGAGGCAGAAGGAAAAAGACAGAAGCAGCTTTTACTATATTTACATCCAACAAAACTTTGCAAGGAATAATCCTTATTGCACAATCAGGGTCCTGGATGGGTGAGGCATTCCACAGGTGGAGTGGACAAGAAGGATTAGGACTAGAAAGGACGCCGGTTCTTCCTAAGGGGAGTTTGGGACTCCTCTAGCTCCCAACTCCTGACTTTTAAAGAGCTGCAAACCACTGAACCACAGTGCCCCATTTCCCTTCTCTTTTTCACCATTCATAATAATCTTATAAGCAAGGGGGCTGTGTCTCCAAAATAAATAAGTCAAAATAAAATTCAAACCCTAAGGTAGAAGGGCATTGAGAGCCTTGGACTCCTTCAGCAATTCCAGTAAAGAGGGTCCATCATTGATGGGGAACGCTATCCTTCCCTCCCACTCAAGGCAAAGGCTCAGTAGCTCTGTATCTTTCCAGTTGTTTTTTAAAACAAAAACTTATAAAATGACCAGGGCAGTACAGACCTGTGGGTACCCTGATTGGAGTTCCTAGTATAGGATGGGGAGAAACAGAGCTGTGCCAACTGCCCCCGGGCCTCCTCCAACATCAGCATGAGCTAGGTAGGCAGGATGGAGACAGGGAATTGTGACTTTTGGTAATAGCGGGTCCCTCTTCCTGCTGCCCCCACTTGGAGCCTATGGCTGGGGATGTCTCCCAGGCTGTTCCCCACTCCTCTATGAAAGGAACAGGGAAGCAGATTATCTCTGGAATTCTTTCTCTCTTACCTCCCCACCCCAGGCTGGAGGGGGAAGTTTAACGATCCCTAGCATTCCAGAGGTGCTCCAAAATATTTTCGGCAATCGATGGCCTTTGGGGTGGGCATCTGTGCCCGCTGCTGCCTCAGCTCCTCCTTGCTCATGCTGCTGGCCAGCTTGTTAAAGGCAGACTTGTACCTCTTGTCAAAGTTTGCTAGGGAAGAGGGAGATCAACATATAAGAATTCCAACCTCCCATACCTGGCCCCAGATTCCTAAACTCCTCAGCTCCCTGCTTGTACCCTCACCAATGTCCACATGGTCCTTGCCCATAGCAGCCATCGTCAGGAATAAGATCTCACGGTAGATGCCCCTGGAGTGGGGGAAGAAGGGCATGAGTAACAGAAAGGGGAGGGAGAGCACAGCACAGGGCAGCAAACTCCCAGATGGGCGCCCCGTACCTCTGCAGGTGCAGGCCTGTGGGAGGGGGTCCTAGAGTTTCTAGCAGGAGCCCAATAGCCTTGTGCACCTCATTGAGACCAACATAACGCAGCACCGACTCCAGCAAATCCAGGCTAAGGGCTGCAGGCACTGGGCCTGGCCATGCCACCCGTTGGGGGATCTGGCCTGGGTGAAAGGAAGGTAACCAGGATTAGTGAGCTCTCTGGGCATGGGACCCACTCCTTCCCACCCTAGGCCAAATACAAGACTCACTGTGGACCCTCCAGAGCACATAGAGAGGGGGGCAGCTATTGGGGTCAGGGGTCAGGACATCCCACAGCAGCCGCACCTGCACGGATGCTGGATCAGGCATTAGCCAAGGAGACGGGGCCTGCAGGAGACCAAGAAAAAAGAAACAGTGAAACTCGTAGAGGACAGGACCTGGACAGGTGATGTTCCAAGACACAGGGATATTACAGGACAGCCAAAGAGACGAGGGAAAGGAACTCTCACCCGCCATGAGAATGCAAGCTCCTTGAGAACAAGCATATTTTCCTGTAACCTACTATATTCCTAGTACCTAAAAACTGTGCCTGGCATCTAATGGTGCTCAGTAAGTGTTGGTGAAACGTGCAGACAGACATTGATGAATCACTGTCTGAGTTCCAGGTATGACACAAGGTGTCTAACAACAGCCCTATGAGGGGAACACTATGCCATTTTACAGATGAGAAAATCAAGGCTCAGGAATTAAGTGAAAGGGTGAGGAGTAAGACCAAGTACACCCCACTCCAAAGCATGCGCTCTTTCTCTGGTACCAAGGTCACAGAGGATGGAGAGACAGAGAGCTGGGAGATGAGGAGGGAAGCACTCAGGAAGCAGGGACCACACAAGGACACTGACCTGGGAGGTTGAGGGCCCATCGCAGGAGGCCAGCACCAGGCATGGCAGAATACTGGGCAGGCGCAGCCGCTGGAAATACCACAGAAGGTTCCAGAAGATAATGGGGTGGGCCGCAGGCAACTCAGGCAACGCCAGCACTTCACTGCCCTCATTCTCTACCAATGACTCCAGCTCTTTACGCAGCACCAGGGGGCTCAGGTATGCCCACGCCCCACCCTCGACCCTCCGGGAGGCACCCTGTTGGGCACAAATGGGGGGGGCAGTAGAGGGCATGTGCCATGGCCCCATCCTCAGAGCCATCCTTCCCACTGAGTCACATGTCCAGGATCTTCTGGGATGCCCCTGCACTCAATGTCCATCTCTGCCCATCACCACTGGGGACCCCCCCACAGGGCAATACATACCCATTCTTCATGCCCCTCTGGCCCAGCCCTTACCCCCATGTGCCCGTTGCAGAGCTGGGGCTCATCCAGGGCAAGGCAGAGCCTGCGATCACTGAGCACAGGGCCTGGGCCCCCAGGGTCAGGAGCATCTTTGCTGCCACAGGCACCAGCAGGAGCAGGCTTAGGGCTGGGGACACTGCAGGGAGATAGCAGGAAGGGTCAGACTCTGAACTTCCACATCCCTGTTCCACCCAAAGCACTTGCCCTGCTCTGGGCACCTGGGGCGGAAATCAAGAGTCTGGACGCTGAGCAGGGGCACAAAGGGGCAGGCACAGAAGGGGCAGGTTGTGTTGAGGTTGGAGTCATCAGGTGCCCAGCCAGCCATAATCTCCTCATCGTATACCAGCGAGTCACAGGCACGGCACAAGGAGCAGCTAGACAGCAGAATCTGTAGGCAAGAAGATTCCAGGAAGCAAGCCACACTTGGCCTGCTGGCTCAGAAGCCGAGGCTCTCTCCCGAGCCCCTCTCACCTCCAAATCCCAGCCAAGCCTCCTTCCACCTCCTCCCAGGCCCTGCCTTTGACAGAGTGAATGGTGTGTGTGGGGGGGGAGGGATGTATTCCAGCATATCTGTGTGGGAGGTTATCCTCACTTCCAGGGAAGGTGGCTGGAAGGATCCAGGGGTTTCACTGAGGCGCTCTGAGGAACGACGAAGGCTCAGGCTGCTGACAGAAGATTCTGAGAGGTCCCACTCACTGCCTAGAGAGGCGGAGCTCTGCCATGACACAAGAAAGCCTGGTCAGCCAATCCCACGCTCCTTTTCACTCAGGGTGCTGACTTCAACCACCCCTCGGGGCCCTCTCAGGGGCTCTTCTCTGGTTAGCAACACTCCCATCCAAGCCCACGGGTGCTTAAGTGTCCGGACTCTCCCCTTGCTGGCTACCTCAGAGGCAGTGGAACCAGGGCGCTCCCGAGGGTGCAGGAGGCTATCCATGGGGCTGCGGCGAGTTGGGGGAGGCAGGTCAGAGGGCAGTTCAGGTGGGGCAACTCGAGAGGCAGAGGAGCGGCGGGAAGGAGTGAGCAACTGTTGGAGGCGGGCACCCAGCCCGCGTCGTGGGGTGCTGGCCTCCTCCTGACGCCTGCTAGCCTTGGCCGAACGTCCACGTAGCCCTTCTGGGGCTTCAGCAGACTGGGTGCTCAAGGCTGAGCCTGAGTCCCCAGGGCTGCCTCCAGCTGCCAGCTCCTCCCCGGCCAGGCTCAGGTCTGAGAGGCTTCCATCGTGCCAGCGCACAGGTGACCCCTGGGGCTCCAGTACCCCCAAGGCCTCTATCACTGTAGGGCAGGAGAAAATCAGGGAAGGTAGAGCCCAGCCCCTCCTCCAGAAATTAAGTAAACACTTTCCTGGCTACACAAACTCTCGTATCACAACCCCTATTATGACGGCATCATGGGCCAGATTCCCTCAGAGTCTGCAGTCCCTACCAGAGAGGGTCACCCTCCATTCTGGCTCTTGTCTTCCTCTCTCACTGGCAAATGGTTAGGAAAGCCAACTGGGGTGTTGGCCAGTCAAGAGCACTCACTGTGGGCCACGCCAGCCTCCACAGTGGGCTGTGTGCCTCGGGCACTACCCAGGCTGCCACTCTTCACCAGGCGCCCCGTGGGTGAGGCTGGGTCCCGCAGACTTCGCCCAGCCCAAGTAGTCTGGCGATGAAGGGGGCGGGTAGGGGAGAGGCGCTCCACATAGGGCCCTGTGAAAGACAGGGAGGGACTGAAAAGCAGCCGGCTAGAAACCCAGCCCTCTATTCCCAGACAGAACTCCTCACATGGACCTGGGTTTGTAAGGTTCCTTGCAGAACTTCATCTCTTTTGTTACCAGCCAAATGTAGTTGATCCATCCCCAGAACAGCCAGTGCCAAACACTAGCCACCCTACTCTCCATGCCTCTCCTTGCCCGAGTCACCAATCCCTGCCCACCTGTCTGGGAGCTGCCTGCCTCTTGTGCTGCTGCCTGCTGCTGCTGTCTCTGCTGCTGCTGCTGCTGCTGCTGCTGCTGCTGCTGCTGCCGCCGCCGTTCTCTCAAGGGCTGGCGAAACTGAGCAGCCCCCAGGACAACATTCCGAAGCTTGGCCCAGCGCAGGCGCCCACCCGGTGTACCAGACGGCCACTTGCTTTCCAGCACAGCCTGCCAAGCACAGCGCCCATCAGGATGGCCTACTTTCACACTCGGCCCTAGCCTGACACCTACTGCTTGTCCTGGAGCCCCAGGGACCACTTTCCCCTCCAGATCTGCTGCCTGGGACTGTCCTGCCAATGGCTCAGTCAGAAACAAAAGCCCAGAAGAGGCAGTTGGCTGCAGCCACCTCTGAGAGGGGTATAGAGGAAGCCAGGAGCAGTTTCCAGACTTTACTACTTATAACCTAAATGGCTTTGAAGAAATCATTTCACTCTTTTTGGTCATTAGTTTCCTCATCTGAAAAAACAGAAGGCAGCCCTGGCTGGTGTGGCTCAGTGGATTGAGTACCAAGGGTCACCGGTTCAATTCCCAGTCAGGGCACCTGCCTGGGTCACGGGCCAGGTACCCAGTATGAGGTGCTTGAGAGGCAGCCACACATTGACATTTCTCTCCCTCTCTTTCTCCATCCCTTCCCCTCTCTCTAAAAATGAATAAATAAAAATATTAAAAAAATAAAAAACAGGAGGCCGTTTAATGTCACAGTTAAGGACCTGAATTCAGGAGACGGCAATATGCCTGTGTTCATATCTGACCTCCCTAACTGTGGGGCCTTGGACTAGTTGCAAACTCTGCAACCCCATCTCCTCATCTAAAAGATGAGGAGAATAACTCCTCCACCTGTCGAGCCTGTGGTGAAGGTAAAGTGGTATGAAATGCATGCTGGCCCACTGGCTAACACTGTCCAGTACTTGCCCATCCTAGTCAGGGCTGTTGTGAGACACAAGGCAGCCAAGTGTGAGAAAACCCAACATAGATGCTAAGACACTGCAGGGGCGCACAGACAACAATGCTTACGGGACCCAGTGCATTGGGCAGGCCCAATCGCCAACCAGAGGGGAGAGAAGCAGGCTTCAGGGAGCAGCGTCCTCCCCACACACACCTGGCACGTGCCCCTGTCCCACCCTAGCCCCAAACCTGCTACCTTGTTGTAGTAGCCGTAGGTGATGGTGTTGGGCACGATGCCCGCCTGCCGCATCTCCAGCATGACGCGCACAGACAGCACAGGCTGCCCGTAGTGCGAGCAGAGCTGCATCAGCACCCGGTAGCACACCTGGTCCAGCAGAGGTACAGGATGAGGGGACTCGCTCCCAGCCCAAACCCTCAAGTCTCAGCAACCATCTTTCTAGCCTCTCCGGTTCTCACAGGCTTCACTCGCCTCTGGCTTCGCTGGCAGCTCCTGAAGTTGCCTAAGAGCCACCCTCTGCTCCTGCTGACCCTGCCACCCTCCAGTCCCTGCTGCTGTCCTCTGATCCTGTTCATTCATTCAGTAAATGTTATGGAGCACCTGCCAACTCCAGGGCTTGTGCCCACGCTCTCCATCTGCCTTCCCAGGTCTCTAGTGAGTCTCCCTGTCAACAGCACCCACAACTACACAAGCACCCCGAGACTGAAGACAGGTACCCACCTCATCAGGCAGCACCACCTTGTGATTCTCCATCTGGCGGAGCACGTGGTAGGCCGTGTGCAGCGCCTGCACCCGAGAGGGTGCTGATCGCACATAGGCAGGCAAACACAGGAACCACAGCCCATAGCAGTGTCCCAGCAGGCACCGGGCCCACAGCTCGGGCACTGCTGCAGACTTCTGCGCCACCCGCTGCGCGACCTTCATCTCCTAGGTGGGGCAGGGGACACACCTGGATGAATACAATGCCCCGGCAGGGCAGGTCTTAAAATGGTGTACAAGCCCTGGCTGGTGTGACTCAGTGGGTTGAGCACCGGCCTGCAAACTGAAAGGTCGTGTTTTTGATTCCCAGTCAGGGCACATGCCTGGGTTGCGGGCCAGGTTCCCCGTTGGGGACATGCAAGAGGCAACTGGTCGCTGTTACTCTCAGTCATTTATATTTCTCTCCCTCTCTTTCTCCCTCCCTTCCCCTCTCTCTAGAAATAAAAACATAAAATAAGATTTTAAAAAATGGTGTACAAGAAGCAGCCCCCTCCCTAAGGAAGGGGCTATGTTTGGAGGGCTGCTGCTCACACAGGTTTCAGCCCCGAGCCCTGGGCTGTGACGCCTAGCCCCTGAGCACGGGCAGATGCCCTGAGGAGGCAACACACCCCTGGACTTCCAGAGCACTCAGAAGACAAAGACAATGATGATGATGACAACAGTAACAATAGCTAATGTTTTCTGTGCTGGGCATACGTAAACCCCCTAATAACCTTATGGGGTAGGGACTAGTACATGCATTTGGCACATGAAGAAGCTGAAGCAGCAGCCCTTGGCTGGCTGAGCCAGGTGCCTTTGAGGGGCACCTGCTGGTTACCTGTTTGGTACGGCGAGGGGCAGGGCTGCTAGGGGCACTACGGGACAGGCCTGGCACAGGCAGAGCCCCAGGTTGCTCCTGGGGAGACTCAAACAGCTCGGCCCGTAGCTCTGGAAATCCATCATAGCTGGAGGGGCAGAGAGGCAGCATCAGAAGCAGTCAGCACTAAGCTAGCCTGTGTGGCCCTGGAACAAGTGAGGGTACAAACAGCTCTCACCAGTACTGGGGAGAGGGTTCACTGCCCTCTGGCACAGGGGGCTCCTCAGGAGGTGTGATAAAGACAGTGAGTTCACTTCCTGACAGCTCCTCCAGCTCCACCAACGGTGCTGGCTCAGGCTTCTCCTGCTCTGGGTGGACCTGGAGCAGGATAGTAAGAGACTAAGCGTCAAGACATAGGTGTGGAGCAGGGTCAGGGTGCGTGCAAGGTGGCATCTCCCCAGAAAGCACATCCATGGGGAAGGAGTAAGTGTGCTGAGACCACCAAGGTCCCGGAAGTACAGCTGAGGGATGGAGTCTGGAAAGACGGGATGAATATAAACCAGCCATGTGTGGCTGCACAGGCTGTGTACTGAATAACTCCAGGGGCACCATCCCCAACACGGACAAGACAGGGTTGTGTTTGTAGTGGTCCTGGGGTAACAGAGACGGCCAGGAGAAGAGCAGATGGCAATGGGCGCAACAAGAGAAGCGACAGTGCTCAAAACCTTGTCGACGCAAGAGTCAAAGAATTCAAGGGCAGCATGCCGGGCAGAGCCAAACGAGCATTCCTCGATGAACTGCGAGAACATCTGCGTGCGCAGCAGCTGAGAGTACAACTTGTGGCTAGAGCGCTCCCGGGACTTGAGGAAGCCTGAGGGGGATGGGAATGGGGCAGGGGAGGAAGGTTACCAGGCTTCCCAGCACAGCCACACCCTTCCTGAAGCCCTCTCCTGGCTCCCCGCCCACTGGGCATCCAAGGCCATCAAAGCCATCCTCTCTTTGGCCTGTCTGGCCCTACTACACTCCACTCCAAGCTGAGGTTGCGCTCCCCAAGCACCATGGTCCCATGGAATCCCTTTTGGCCATCTATCTGTCCCCACTCCCTCAGACCGGCGTTTCTCCGAGACCAGTGTCCCTGAAGAGAGCTCTGACCACGGGGTTGGCTCACCACAGGACTCCCCGTGCCCACCCCAAGCCCAAGGCACCAGGGCCTCAGCTGCTTCCTCTTTGTACCCTTCCTCCCTCCAAGCCCAGAAGAGTGTATGGTGCAAAGCTGGTACCCATAAAAATGTCCACTGAGTGAAAGAACAAGCAACTGAGTGGTCTCCAGTTCCCCTGCACCGTCCCCCCCCCCCCCCCCCCGTCTACCCTCCCCAAGCAGAGACAGGCCCTCTTTACCCTGTAGGAAGAAGAGGTTATCAACATCCCGAACCCCTTCAGAGGGTGGCTCAGTGAGTGGACGCAGAAAGTCCCGGTAGCCTTTGAGCAGACAGGACATGAAGCGAAGGAAGGCCCCCTGGACTTCACGCTCCAGCCGGGCTCGGCGGCCACACACAGCCTCGTAGTCTGTCAGCAGGAACTCCAGGGACGCCTCCTCCTCGGGACCAGTGTATGCTGGAGACCATGGCAGCCTGAGACTCAGGGCCAGCCTCCTCAGGGCTAGCCCCAATCCTGCTCGGCATGCAAGCCTCCACCGCTGCCGGACCACCTCCAGCTGCTAACTGACTTGACACCAATATTGACTGAAGTTACCCTGAGGTCAGTTTCAAGCCTCCGCAATAACACAAGCTGGTCTTTTCCAGCATATTCAAGAATATTAATATTGTACACCCCTCCCTCTTGCTTAAACTAGAATTTGAATTTCCTTCACTTCCACCACATGAAATCCTAACTCCTCTAACCCCCTCAAGTAAGGTCTAGCTCTCTGCAGGCCTCTCCCCAAACTGGAGGCTTAGGGTCAATGAGTTTCCAGCCTCCCACCAGGCTTCTCACTCTGATCCAGCTGCTGGTACAGGTTTGTCAGTGTAGCCAGCAGGACCTTGTAGGGTCTGCGGGGCAAGGTCCGAGGGGAGAGAGGCTTCTTTTCTTCAGTCCTATTAGAGAAGCAGGAAGAAAGGGCCATGGGGCTCCTCACCAGCCTCCCCCACTTTTTGCCTGAGGCTCCTTTGAAAAGGTACCACGCTATACACCCACCCTCATGCCTCCTCCCTGCAGACCACTGAACGAGAACAGCCCTCTTACTGGAATAACGTGTTGGTGTCAAGATCCACACAGATGACATCAGATGGCGGGTCGTGCAGATCGAAGTAGCTGGAGTGGATACCCACGATGAAGGGCACGGGGGCACTCAGCACGTCAGCCAGCACCAATGGGCACAGAGGAATGTAGGGGCACTGCCACTGCAGTGGGAAGATCATCTGGAGCACCAGGGAGTGAGGAGGAGTGAGCAACGGCTGGGGCAGCGATGGGGGAGGGGGCACAGGAGACAGGGAGTCACTAACTGGGGGTGGGCAGTGCCTGTGGAGAGACACTGTTGGAGGTGGGCTCCAAAGAAGAGCCCCTAATGGAAGCTATATGTCCCTGAACACTGTGCCCAAGGGGAAGGCTGAGGAGCCCACCCCAAGGAAGGGTCTGGGGAGGGACAGGGTAACCCAAGAAAACATTCTGGGGGAGGTGGACTGGGCAAGGGGGCACTCACAGAGACGAGGGCCTCACAGACGCTGGTGAGCAGGTCTGGACGAAGTGAATGGACTAGTAGTTTGTGCTCTGTGAGCACAGCCAGCAGCAGCGTGATGGCCAACTCGGGGCCCAGGCTCTGTAGCAGCTGCAGGAAGCTGGCACCACTGTGGGCAGCAATACCAAAGTGGGGGGAACAAGTCACCAGGAGACCCCAGAAACCCTCTCCTAGTCGCTGAGCACAGACAGCCTGCACAGGTCTCAACAGCTATGCCCACCTGCCTGGCACCTACCACGTCCTTGGTCATCAACTCCTCCCAACTTGGGCACATACCTGAGGGGTAGGGGTGAGGATACAGGCTGGCAGAGGAGCAGATTGTCATAGGGAGACATCTGGGAAGCAAAAGAACCACAGGTCACTATAAGGGAGGCTAGCTCCTGCCAACTGCCCTCGTCCCATCCAGCCCCAGCTTGGCCTCACCCCTCACCTGCACCAGAATGCGGGGTCTCTGTGGGGAAGGGAAAGGGACGTTGTGAATGAAATGGGAGATGTGCCTGGAGAAGAGAGGGACACCAGTCAGAGGCACATTCCCCAATCTATCCCTATTCTACCCCCACATTCCCCTTCCTGGGTCACCTGTCCCCAAGAACTCAATTCCTCTCTGACCTCTTGAGGAATCAAGTTCTTGAGACCTGCATCAGCCATCAGAGCTGTTTACTACATACAAACTTCATGCAAATGAGAAAAGAGATCCCCTCTAAGCATGCACAGCTCCTTGCCAGGACTCAGCTAGCAAGTGTAGACTGGCTTTCAGGCTCCTCTTCCCCTCAGCAACTGGCGCTTTTGCAGCGTGGTACAAACACAAGCTCCAGCCCTGCCTCCCGCTCCTCTGCCCACCTACCCCATGCAGATCCCCATTCCACTTTATCCTAATCTCCTCCACCTCTCCTGGCCTCCCGACCTCCTCAGACTCCTTCCCAGAGTCAGGGGAGCCATGCTCACGCTTCCAAGGGCAGGCCGTGGGGGCCAGAGACGGAGTAGCGGTAGAGAAAGGTGAGGAAGGCCCGGAAGGCGGGGAAGGCAGGCCAGCGGGACAACACAGCAATGGCGCGCCGGCTGCGCACCGCTCGCCCTCCCAGCGCTCGGCCTCGTTCCACAGCGCTCAGCAGGCCCAGGGCCCGCGATTGCCGTTCAGACAGCCTGGCCCGCGGAAATGCCTCATAGAACTGCAGGGCGGCACCGTACACCTGACAGGGACGGAGAAGCAGTCAGGTGGGCCCTGCACAGCTCAGGCCCCTTCCCACACTCCACACACCCACCTTATCACCGGCTGCACCCGTCAGCACAAAGGTGGAGAAGACAGGCACCGGGTACTTGGTCTGGGCAGGCCAGCACTCAATAGTGGCCCCCATGGGCAGGCAGAACACGGGCACTGACTCAGGCAGTGGAAACGCCTCATTGTCCTCCTCTGGGTAGCGGCCCAGTAGCTCTGCACCCTCCGCAGAGTGGGGAGCACCCAAAAGGAGGAGGGTCCATCAGGTTCCAGAGGAAGGAACTAGGGGTCCCAGAGAAGGGCCGAGAGACCCAGGGGCGTTCTGGGGACAATGAAGGTGCCAGCCGAGAGGCACCAGGGCAGAGGGACATGGTGGGCTAAGGGGTTAGAGAAACAAGAGGGCAACTCACCTGCCTCATACACAAGCGTGTTGGCCTTGGCCAGGCCCACCTTGTAGCACAGGTACACTGCTGGGCCCCACTGCCCCAGAAATGGCAAGAGACAAGCAGATTCACAGCTAACAAAGGTTTCTGAGGCCCACTTTCTCCACCACCCCCAAATGGTATTTTGTCTTTAGAATCCTACTAACCCCAGTTCCCCCAAGGCCAGAGTCACGCCCCTGGCCTCACGCCTGCCATCAGAGGCCTTGGGCCTAGAGTACCCTTTGTGCCCGGTCTCCACACCCTCATGGCAGGGTGGCACAGGTATCAGCCCTTGGCCCCAGCTCCACTCACCATGCCAGGGTTGAGGTTGCGGGGCAGTCGGCAGTAAGTGTGAGGAGTGCCCTCACCCTTGCTAGGCAGTACCAGGCAGAGATCAGTGATGCCCAAGGCATGCAGTCCTGCCCCTTCTGCTGCCCGCCGGTAAGTGAGGTAGGTTCGAGGGTGCCCAGGGCCTGGAGGGGCCAGGTTGGCTGAGTGGCTGTAGGGTGTCGTGTCTAGTACTTGAAAACCAGGCTTGGGACGTTCCTTTCCTTCATACAACACCCTTGGCACAGAGAGCAGGGAGATGTCAAACTGGAGGCAGAGCAGAAAGACCCCAGCCCTGCCAGATCTGCCTTTTCAGTCCTGCCCACCTGCCTTGTACCCTCGGCCTCATCAAACGCTGACCACAGAGCTCACTTGCTACTGTCCTCTGCCCTGCAGAATCCTGCGTCCCCTCTTCCGCCCTTGTTTCTACTTGATCAGCAACTACGACTCGAGGGGTCCATGGCTCTCATAGTCATTAATAAATGCTAAGACAAAAGTTATAACTTACTGACTCTGTGCTAAGTCCCTTTTATGGAGGATCTCATTTAATCTTCTCAACCACCCTATGAGGAGGATAATTTTCCCCGCTTCACAGATGAGGAAACAAGCCCAGAGGGGCTCAAATCCTGCCCAAGATCACATAGCTAGCAAGTAGCAACACCAGTACAGGAACCCAAATTGATGTGAGGATTAACTAGATTCAACCTTAGTCCCCTCTCCCTGGCTTCTAGCCAGCTCATTCCCATTCCCACTGCCCATCCTTCATCTTCCCACACCCCTACCTCTCCCTGCCTTACCCCACAGTCCCTCCCAGTCTTCCCTAGTGCCAGTACAGGTAGGAGCACACACCCTAACTCCACAAGGGGGGGCTTGTCACGGCCTCTGCGGTAGCAGATGACGGGTTGAGTTCCACCCAGAAGTCCAGCACTGAGTTCCAAGGGGTGACCCCCTGCAGAGGCCTGGATGCATGTGTAGCCCTGGGGCACCTCCTCGCCCAGTGCCCTAGCGATGACTGCCACATCTGTGATGGGCTCAGCTGGTCGGGGAGGGCGCAGGGGCCCACTGGGTTCAGGAACCCATGTTTCCTCAGGGATGGGTGCTCCATTCCCTGCAAGCCCAGCTATCACGAAGTAATCCACCAGTCGGGGGGGCCGCTCCTCCGCCATGGCCCCCCCCTCACTCACTGCATCTGCAATGGTCAAATAGGGGAGAGATGAAGAAAGGAGGGCTGGTGTTGCCATGGCAACCGGGGGTGCTCCTCTTGCTCCCCTCCTCTTCCTAGTCCTTTCAAGGGAAGGCAGTCTCAGTGGTCAGCCAATCCCGAACTCTCCCACCTATGACATCATCAGGCCCTCAGAGTCCACCACAGCTCCTTAAAGAGACCAGGACCCTCTCTTGATGGTAACTAGACCTTTCCCAAAGTAAAGAACCCAAACTCCACTCCACTGCACACAGCTAACCTAGGCTCTGACATCACTTTAATCCTGTAACCCTATTAAAGACCATCCCCTCCATTCCCTACCCATACAGAATTGTAACAGGTCAGTCTTTTCTGATTAACTACAGCATTAATTTTGGTCATGACATCATACCAACCTCACAGTCTTTTTAAGGGTTTCTGACTTTCTTATCCTAGTTATGACATCATATGAACCGCATGGGCCAGTTAATGTTCTTAAAAGAGCCCACGTCAAGGTTTTTGTGAGGTCCAAAGTGTCCAGAAAGCCCACAAAACCCAAGCTTTGGTGTCCTTTCACCAGACTCAAGTGTCTTTTTTTCTCACCTAATTCCACTAACCTGAAAAAATACTCCAAAAAACAAACAACCACCCCCCCAAAACAATGTCCATCCACCTCGGTATACGCAGTGAGGACAAAAGCAGTTGTGGGAGACAGCCCTGCCATCCCCATGCCCTCCTCCACAGAGCCCAGAAATGAAAACAGGCCCACATCTGGTGTTCGGTAAATGAGTTCTCACCTGCCTCCATGGCCCAACCCCAGACAGCAGGAGCCCAAGGGTCCTGGGGAGCCCAAAGATGCAGAAGCTAGGAAAGAGCTTGGTGGATGGCTTGCAGCAGAGGACGGGATCAGTGGGGGTGTTTCAGAGAAGGGAGGTGACTTCCTGGAACAGTGGAGGGGAAGCTGCAGCTCCTCGCAGCTCAGCGGAAGTCAACCCATGTGTGTGTGTGTGGGGGGGGGGGGTTTCTGCTGAAGGTGCCAACACAGCAGCATCATGCCAAGTGGAACCTCAGACTAAAGGACCCTGAGCAAAGTAGAGGAGGCTCAGAATGGCTCCAGGGTGTACAGTCCTACGTAACCTCCCACCCTTACACAGAGAACGGGGAGCAAGGGAGTCTCATGGAACAAGGTTACTCTCTCCTCAACCTGGCCTCTGGGCACGCAAGCACGCGCCCACAGACACACACATATACAACTCTAGCTAAATTTAGCCTCCATGTCTGGAAGGTGAAGCCAGGAGTCACCGTCAGCCTCCTAATTTAGCTCGGGGGCACAACCTCATCCCTCACCCACTACAGGCGAATGAGCGACTTATGTCCCCAGGCGGCAGGCAGACACCCTTAGGTGGACCGAGTTGAGTGGCCAGTGGGTGGCCCTAGTCTTGTGCAAGACATGTGCACCAGAGCTTCCCTCAATCAGCCAGGGAAGAACCCTGCACAAGGCAACCCTTGCTCCCTGGGAAAGGTAAGGGGCTTGGGAGCCACTCGAGGTCCCAACACCTGCAAGCCAGGCGACGGGAAGTTCGGGCTGGGGCAGAGGGCGAGCAGAGCAGGAGACGGCTGAGAAAGGGGCAGGAGCACCAGTCCACAGGGAACGTGACGGCAGCAGCACCAGCCTCCGCGTGACCCGAGAGGGAGGGAGGGGTGCTCCGGCTTCAGAACCGCAGGAGCAAGGGGTTGCAGGGCGCCTGACGCAGAACTCCCCTCCACTTTCACTTCCTCAGGAGAGAGGAACCGGAACCAGATGTGCCACGCCAGAGAACAGCTGGGGGACTTCCCCCGCCCCGCACCCACTCCCTTCCTTCCCCGCCCGTTGCCCCGCCTGGTCCGGCCCCTACCTGCCTGCCCTGCGACTCCCTGGCCGGCCGGGCCCGCTGCGGGCGGCTCGGAGGGTGGGCTGGCGGGCCGGCGGGCAGCGGACGGCGGGCTACCCGGCCCCGGACATGGCGCACCGGACTTGGGCGCCACTCCCTCCGGGGCGGCCAGGGAAGGAAGGAGAGGCAGCCGAGGGCGCGGTGGATGGAAATCGGAGTGATCCCTGCGTCCCCGTCGCTGCGCCACGCAGGGGACTGTGCTGCCGCGCAGCTCGCTTGGACTCTGCGCTCCTCTCAGCTCCGGCTGAGGGCTGGGTGCTCCTTTGCGTGCCCCGCTTTCTCCACCACCCCCACCCCACCCCACCCCACCCTCAAGGACTGCGGGCACAGCTGCTCCCCGCACGCTCTCCTGGGCCTGTGGCCGCGACCCCGGCTGTGCCTGCCCAGCGCCCTGCAGCGCGACCCCTGGCGGCTGGGAGGGCCCCTTGCACCCAAGGAGCTTCTTACCACTCATGGTGCAGTGGGACACTGATGGGGCAGCCCTTTAATAAAGTCCAAGGCGCGCTCCTAGTCAGACATGCATGCCTGGGGGAAGGGCCTGAAGGTCCAGGCAGAGGACACCCAGGTGGCTCCTTCTACTTCCAGGTTTAGGGCACCCTGCATTCCCTTTGGGCCTAAGCCAGAAGCTCTCAGTTCTCTTTTCTGAAAATGACAAGAGCTTTGGAAAGAGGAAGAGGAAAGGCCAGGTCTATAGGTCCTTTCTATGAAATAGTAGAGGTGTTGGTAACTGTGGAGGGGCATGGCCCTTCTGATTGCTGAGAGTGGAAGAGAAGAGGGGCAAGGCTAGATGGTCAGAGGGCTAGCAACCCAAGCCACTGAGAGGAAACCTCTTTAGAATGTGGTTAGCACTTAAGCATCTGTAGAATGAATGAGTGAAGAAAGACTGGGGAGGGTGAGCCACAGCTAGTGAGTGGGCAGGAGCGCAACCTCAGAGCTTACCTGAGACTTAGAGCAATGGGATCAGAGGCTGGCCAGGTAAGACTTGTCTAATTTTGATGACCTCTAGGCTTAAAGAGCCATAGAGAAGGGGAGCCAACCCAAGACCTAGCTGGTATACTTGTTATATCCTCTCTCCTAGGTAGCCCTAGCACTGAGGCTAGCTACTCCTGGAAAAAGCTGGGGTCATTCTACCAGAAGCATCAGACCTGTAAGTTCAGCCAGCAATCACCTCCTTACTTTGACTCACAGCCAGGCCACAGGGGTGAAGAGCAACAACTCATCTGGCCAGTGTCGCTGTCCCCTGATGCTGCAGCAGGGCCCTGAACAGATGCGGGGGCACCTGTGCTGCCATGGGAGCATGCAGCCTGGACCCCCATGCTCAATGCTGGGTACAAACTCTGAGGCTGGTGGGACAAGGGGTTTCCACAAACCACAAGGTGCTCAGAAGACGTAACAACCATTATAGATGAAAGGGCCTGTGCCCCACAGACCCCCTAGTTCCCTGGCCACAACCCAAACAGTAGCCAACCACACCAAGAGTTTAATATGATTTTTTTATTAACATATAATATATTTAATAAAAAATAATATCCACTCTGGCTCTCTCCACCATTGCAAGGGGAAGAGTGGTAACGAGGGGCTGGCACTGCCCACCCCTGGGCATCTTGAACTAGCCCTGCCTCTGGGGCTCCCCTCTACCCCCTGCTTCCCAACAGGCTCTGACCTCCAGATAGACGGTTCAAAGTTACAAGTGCTTTAGACCCTCCCTTGAGCTCCCCCAGGCCCACCCCTTGTGCAGAATTCTAGGGTCACCTGGATAAACCCCTTGCTTTTTCTCATTCTTGGGATCCCTCATTCATGTTAGAAAGAGGATTTGGGGGCAGAGAGTAGTCTCTACTGGCCGGGGGAAGGGAGGAAAGGAACAGTGATGGGGAACAGGGCCAATTAGAGGGATGATGAGTCGCCTCACTGTAGTCTGTCACTGCGGAACGAATCCTCCACAGCAGGATCAGGCAGCAGGGCACACGGGTCGCTCAGCATGTTGAGCCCTTCCAGGCCCAGTGGTTCCATGCGCAGCTCCTCCTCCAGCCCCAGCCCCAACCCAGCTGCTGACACCTCGAAGCCAGGCACCCCAGAGAGGGCCACTGCAATCTCCTTAGAGAAACCTGGGGAGGAGTCTCCTGTATGGGCAGAAGAAAGAGGTGAGAACCCCTCAATTTCCTGCTATGCCAGCAAATGTATCGCTCCCTCCTTCCATCCCTCACTGCTACCCACACCTCTCACCTGTGAGGATGATGTTAGGCCCTGAGCCATGGCGGGAACAGTGTGTCAACTTCTGGTGGTTGAGGGCATGGGGGTCCTGGAGGCCACTCGCTGATCCCTCACTCCCTAAAAATCCAGACCCTTCAGAAAAGCCAGTGGGATCCAGCGCCAGACTGGTAGACGGACTCTCCATGCTGAACTGCTCCAGCTAGGGGTACACAGACAGACCTTGAAGAAGCAAGCCTCAGAACAGGAGTGCCTGCCTACCACTGCCTGGCCCTGCTGACACATGCCCTTTGCCCAGTAAACCTCCCCCCAACCTGGACCAAAAGCAGACACAGAGGGAGATGGCAGCAAGCAGAGCAACAGAAGTGTTCACGGGCCCCAAAGTAGATGTGGGCACCGTACCTGCCGGGACAGAGCTTGTGCGTGCCAGGAAGAGAACGGATCAAAGCAGTAGTCATCAAAGAGCAAGCTGTGCAGAGAGAGCTAGGGGGAGAGGGACAGGAAGAAGGATCAAACGCAGGACTAGAGGAGCCTCAAGCTGGCAGGGCCACGTCCCCTGGAGAGCGGGAGGATCTCCTCCACCCAGATCTGCCGACTCAGACTGTGTCAGTGGCACGGCTCAGGCCCATCTGACCCAATCCCAGCCTTTCCACTGCTGTAGCACCAGAGACCTGAGTACTCACGTTCCCCAGGCTGAAGTCACTCACTGGCCGTTGGTAAGACTGCTGCCCATGCCCACTGGAGCCGGGTGGGTACAGTGTCCCATAGTGTGGCTGCCGGCCTGCGGGCTGCCCACCTGAGGACTGCACTGAGCAGGCCTGAGAGCACAGCCCTGGCTGCTGTAGAGGCTTTGGGGTGGGTGGCTGGGTGGGAAGAACCAGACTTGGGGGGCTATACGGGTATGAAGGCAGCCGTTGGTCAGTGGGCAGTTTACTGGTATCCAGTGGGACACCCTAAAGAGAAGCAAGGAAAAAGGGGAAGCTTACCTTTCAGCGTGCCCCCAAGAGGAACTCTCAGTCAGGAGTTCCCACCCTTGGAAGCTGCAACCATCCTCCACACATACGGGATAGCATTCCCATGGGTATCTCTGGGATTGGGTGCAATTACTCAAAACTGCTCATCAGAATGAAACCAACTAAGTGAGGCTAACACAAGAATAATTTTGAATACAGTCCAGAAGTAAACTATTACTAAACCTTGGTGCTTTAGCGATGATTGTAATCAAGTACTTGTGACACATTTAACAAGTGCTTAATAGCACGACAGTGAACTTGAGAACTGCCGTTCTAAAGCCTTGACAAGGCTGGGAAGAATGGGGGAGGAAGGAAACAAAGAGGAAAGGAGGAAAGGAAGTTAGGTTCACTGCAGGCTCAGGCTCCGAGAGAGCACAGCCCTTGCCGGGCCTGGATCTCAGTCTCTCCTACAGAGAAGGGGACCTGCATCAGATGGAACACAGAACACACATTCCAGGGAAGACTAATGGAGGGGAGGAGAAAGCAGGGCAGAGGGGAAGTGTCCACTAGGGTGACAGGAGGAGAGGTGCAGAGAGAGGGAGAAGGACAGGGGGAGGAAGGAGCTAGGAGTTTAGCGCTGAGGAACAGCTCTAATCTCAAGAGTTTTCGGTTCTGGTCCTAACTCTTCCCGACAGTCTGTGTAAGCGTAGGAAAATCACTTGCCCTCTGGGCCCCTAGTCTCCATGCCTATAAAATGAAGGGATTGAGCTCCATGATCGGAGCTTCTGAGTCTATGAAATCTAGAAAAAAAGGAAGGGAGACAGGAAAAAGGATGGGACAGGATAGAGACATGAGAAAAAAGACAAGAAAAGAAAGACAGGAGCAAAAAAAGGAGAAAAGGAAGTGGCTAAGCTACCACATGTGAAGCCTGCACCTGGCCTAGGCATGGTGCTGGGCAGTTTCCACACGTGATTTCCTTTGATTTTTACAATCCCATCTGTGTTTCGTAGATGAGGAGGCTAAGGCTCAGAAAAGTGAAACTGTCCACAAGGAGACTATAAGCAGAGGTGGGGCCCGAATTTGTCAGAAAGCTTTACCCCAGGGTTTGCACTCTTAAGTCAAGAGGAAACAAGATAAATAAAAGATGGGGCAGGTAGAGGACAGGGGAATCAAACGGGACGGACGAGACAAGTGTGGGAAGTAAGAAGAGGTAGTTGAGGGAAGGAGGGCAGAAAGCAGAGAACTTAGCAGGAAAAGGGTAAGGGAGAGACAGGCACATAGGGAAGGCAGCCACGCGTACCTGAGTGATGGAAGACAAGGTGGGTGACATTGTTGGCGAAAACTGTTTGGGCA